TCTGACTTAGTTAATTATTACAGAAGTTCAACATAACCAATCATGGGTCCATAAACCCATATACAGTTCTGTCGTGGGCATATCCGGATATCATATCCGGATATTCATATCCAGATATCCTAAACCCCATATCCAGATATCAATATCCGGATATCATATCCAGATATCAATATCCGGATATCATATCCGGATATTTCGCGATAGAATGTTGTTCTGCATTTTCGCGAAGATATCACCCAAAGGTTGTTCTTTTAACGATTTCAGAAGCTTAAACATGCATTTCTAGGTGTGTTTAACCTTACCCACCCTTAAGTTATTAACTTTAACTTGTTACATGCATCAAGGTCCATTCTTTCCAAGGAAAACTCAAAGACAAGGTGGTGATGCATACCAACGGTTCAAAACAAAAAAAGGTTGGAGCTCTCTAGGCAGCTCCCTAGGTTCTGACTTCAACATGCATGGAAATGGCACACCAAGAATGTTCATTTCTCTTCAAAGATCATTCCTTCAAGCTCCAAACACCAAGGAAAAAGGTTTCCACTCCACACAACTCGGAGACAGCACTCTAAACCTCCCCAAACAATACCCACAACCAGCAAAAGCTGACCTTCAACCTCACAAAGCACTCTACTAAGTGTTTACAATGATTTAGAGGGAAGAATCATGGAGAAAGATAATCTCTTGGTGGTTTTCAAGAGAGGAGAGGGTGATGGCAAATTAGGACACCAAAGGCTAAAAAATGGAGGCACACAAGACACGTAGAGCTGATCAAATCAGCCTAGGGTTGTGTGGAACTTGTGTATTTATAGTCGGTTTAAGTTTAATCACACTGTATTAGCCCTAATATCTACGCTTATCATTTTAATCCCAAACTTTGGATTCTGAACCTAGCCATTTTTCTAAGATTTGTCATATTTTTATTTTATTGTTCGCAGCACTTAGCCAGTATCAGTTCTGACACCAGTTCTCATTATTTTGACTTCAAACTTATTATACTAGTCATATCTTTTATTCTAGTAATATATACACACTTTTCATAATTTTTCGGAATACTTCATCGGTACGCCTTTATACCGTGAGGCAGAACCGGTATCTGCACTTTTCGAGAGGAGAGCGATTTTCAACATTATTAATCACTTACCATAAATATTTAAGCCTTCTCATAATTATTAGGGTCAATTATAGAATTATCTCATTAATCTCATAACTAATTAGTTAAATTCCTAATTTAACGGTGCAGATTCTTACATTCACCCCCTTTTTAAAGAATTTTGTCCCCAAAATTAGAAACATACTTGTCCCGAAACTTGGGCTATTGCCGGAGAAGCTCGTCCTCTCGCTCCCAAGTACACTCCTTAGGAGTTCTTCCCATCCATTGCACTTTGACCATCAGAATGATCTTGCTCCTCTACTTCTTCTCGCCACGATCGAGAATCTTGAGTGGTCCGACGGGAGTTTTCAAGTTCTCCCGAACTTCCACATCATCTGGTTGCACCTCGTGCTATGTATCTCCGAAGCTATGTATCTCCGAAGCTGAGACACGTGAAACACGTCGTGGATGTTGGCCAAGTTCGGAGGCAAGGCAAGCCGGTAGGCAACAAGCCCTACCCTACCAAGAATCTGGTATGGCCCTATGAATCTCGGGCTAAGCTTCCTCACTCTGAGGGCCCGACCAACACCGGTGACAGGTGAAAGTCTCACAAATACGTGCTCACCTTCACTGAACTCCATTGGTCGATGCTTGATATTGTAATAACTCTTCTGGCGATTCTGCGCCTGCTTCAGCTTCTCTCTGATCATCTGGATCTGCTGGGTGGTATCTTCGACGAAATCCAAGCCAAACAACTCCTTATCTCCAACCTCCAACCAACAAGTAGGAGTCCAACACCTCCAACCATACAGCGCCTCGTAGGGTGCCATGCCCAGACTAGCATGGAAACTGTTGTTGTACGAAAACTCAACCAATGGCAGGTACCTATCCTATGCTGAACCCTGCTCTAATGTGCAAGCCCTCAACACGTCCTCCAATGTCTGGATGGTCCGCTCAATCTATCCGTTAGTCTGAGGGTGATAGGTGTTACTCAATCTCAACTGAGTACCAAAAGCTCCCTGCAGCGCCTCCCAGAACCGAGATGTGAACTTCAGGTCTCTATCACTGATGATACTCTCGGGAACCCCGTGAAGCCTCACAATCTCGCGAACATAAAGTCTAGCCAACTGCTCCGTAGTGAAGCTCACCTTTACCGGAAGAAAGTGGGCAGACTTGGTCAATCTGTCCATATTGACCCAGATAGAGTCACAACCAGCCTGAGTCTTCGGCAATCCCACCACGAAGTCCATGGAAACGCTCTCCCATTTCCATTCTGGAATCTCAAGAGGTTGAAGCTTACCAGACGACTTCTGGTATTCTATCTTCACCTTCTGGCAATTCAAACATTTGGACACGTAAACAAAAATATCCTTCTTCACGCCCGGCCACCAGAAATTTCTCTTCAAGTCCTTATACATCTTTGTAGCACCAGGGTGGACAGTGAATTGGCCTTTATGGGCCTCTGCCATTACCTCCTCAATCAAAGGACCTCGAGGAATCACAATCCTCTTCTGGAAAGTCAACAGTCCATCCTCATTCCAAGACACACCGTCTTCGTTCTTCACGTAATCCAGGCACTCTTTTTGTACATGCGCCTCTTTAATCTCATCCATGAGCTCATTCTCAACCCTAACGATCTCCATTTCGAGAAGTGCACCCCCCAAGCAAAGAGGTCACCGTCATATCTCGAAACTGCTCTATAATATCATAGTCACCCATCGTCAAACTGGATAGACTCACAGATTTTTGACTCAAAGCATCAGCTACCACATTGGCCTTGCCAGGATGGTACTTCAACTCATAGTCGTAGTCCTTCAGAAACTCCATTCATCTCCTCTGCCTTATGTTCAGCTCCTTCTGATCAAACAGATACTTCAAACTCTTATGGTCACTGAACACGGCAAACTTCATACCAAAAAAGGTAATGCCTCCAAATCTTGAAAGCAAAAATAATAACAGCTAACTCCAAAGCATGAGTCGGATAGTTCTCCTCATGAAGCTTCAACTGTCTCAAAGCATAAGCAATCACTTTGCCCAACTGCATCAACACACAGCTCAGCCCCTTTCCGGAGGCATCACTGTAAAGCTCAATCTCCTCAGCAGGATCAGGAAGGACCAACACAAGTGCAGTAGTCAGTCTCTCCTCAACTCCAGAAAACACTCCTTACACTCGTGAGTCCACACAAACAGAGTCTCCTTCCGGGTAAGACGAGTCAATGGAAGAACCATCATGAAAAATCCCTTAATGAACCTCCGATAGTAACCTACCAAACCCAAGAAACTCCTCACTTTTGTAACCGTCTTGGGCCTCTCCCAATCCAACACAGCCTCTATCTTGTTGGCCTCCACTACAACTCCCTCTGCAGAAATCACATGCCCAAGGAACTTCAAAGACTAGAGCCAAAACTCACATTTTGAAGGCTTAGCATAAAGTTTTTTCTCCTTCAGCACTTGTAACACAATTCTCAAGTGCTCCACATGCTCCTCCTCTGTCTTGGAGTAAATCAAAATAGCGTCAATGAAGACGATCACGAACTGATCCAGATACGGCTGGAAAATCCGGTTCATGTAATCCATGAACACTGCGAGTGCATTGGTGAGTCCGAACGAGATCACCAAATACTCATAATGACCGTATCTCGAATGAAACGCGAACTTAGGGACATCTTCCGGCTTAACCCGAATCTGATTGTATCCGAACCGGAGATCAATCTTCGAGTACACGCAAGCACCCCTGAGCTGATCCAACAAATCATCAATACGCGGGAGGGGATACTTGTTCTTGATTGTCATATTGTTCAACTGCCTGTGATCGGTGCACAACTGCATAGTCCCATCTTTCTTTTTCACAAAAATGACCGGTGCTCCCGATGGAGACACGCTCGGTCGAATGAAGTCTTTCGCCGAAAGATCCTCAATATGCTTCTTCAGCTCTGCCAACTCTGGTGGCGACATCCGATATGGAGCTAATGAAATAGGCCCTACACCAGACAACAAATCTATGGAGAACTCTATATCCCGCTGTGGCAGAAACTCAGGAAACACCTCGAGGAATTCTTTCACCACAGGAATGTCAGTGATATCCTCTTGTGTCCCACTCACCAAACCTCCCAACGTGACATATCAGAATGCCCCTGCTCTCAAGGCTCTCCTAGCCTGCAGCACTGAAATATAAGGCGAGGAACTGGCTGTGGAATCACACAAAGACATCACCACTCGCTTGGCACAACAATCAATCTTCACATAATTCTTGAACAACTAATCCATTCCAAGGATGATTTACAAATTAGCGATCGGCAATCCTATCAGATCCACCGAAAACTCACGGCCATCCACTGAAACACGACATCTCGATGTACAGTGGAGGTATCACACTTTTCTCCGGTGGCGGTAGTCACCCGCAACGGTGGAGAGAGCACAGCACTGGACAACTCAAGCCCCGCAACAATCGGGGTGGCAATGAAAGAATGCGTAGCCCCGGAATCAAACAAGACATCAACAGCCGAATCACCAATGGAAACAGTACCTCTGACAAGGTTCGGAGCTCAGTCCGACTGCTGTCGATCCAAGGTGTAAACACGACCAGTGGCAGGTCGCACCGCAAGTGCCGCTGTAGGTGGAAGGGAAACCATCTGAAGTGGAACTTCCTGAACCGCTGCAGCTCTCGCGGTCGACGACGGACAATCTCTGAAGTAGTGGCTCGCCTGGCCACACTGAAAACAGATCAACTGGCCGGTAGCACACGACCCAACATGAAATTTCCTACATCCCGAGCATCTAGGAGTATGAGGCCTAGATGAACTCCCCTGAGTAGAAGTCCTCTTGAACTGGCTAGGCGCCTTCCTAGCAACCAACTGCTTCCCTTTTCCCTTACCAGCAAACTTCCTATCCTTCCAAGAAGTGGAACTACCAGTTCCCTTAACCTCCGCAACTTTGGCTCTCTTAGCCTTGCTCACGATACAGACATCCTCAATGTCCCTACACTGTTGTACCAGTGTACCAAAGTCTCTCGATGCAGCACCAGCAATACGATCAGCTATCTCCTCATTAAGTCCCCTACGGAACTTAGCAGCCAAGAACGTCGGAGTAGGCATAGCGATCTTGAAATGTGAAAACTTGACCGGTTCATTGAACTTAGCCAAGTACATGTCCACAGAAAACGAGCCCTGCACCAGACGGTCATGTAATCACATGACCCTACATCTCATAGATGTGAGAGGTGTTTATCCACCACTCATGTGCATCGCCCTCCAGCATGTAGGTGGCAAACATCAGCTTCAGCGGGTCAGTGCACTGCATAACTCTAAAGATCTTTTTCAATGCCTGAAGCCATCTCGAAGCAACAATAGGATCATAAGATCCATCAAAAGAAGGTGGCTTATGCTTGCGAAAAGCATTCAGCCGGCGGTCAATAACATCACGATCCTCAGCTGGCTCCAAGTAGGGTAGCATCACCCCAGTAAGCTGACTGGCACCCTCAACGTGACTCTGGCTATCGTCCTGAAGACTGGGTGGAGGCGGTGGTGGTGGCGGCGGTCGAGGTGGTGGAGGATGGAATTGACCCTCATTGCGGCCAGCCCTCATCTCCTCCAACATGACCCTCATCATGGTCATGTTCGCCAGCCGGTTCGCCTCAAGAACATCTTCTGTGGCCTTCTGGTTCTCCTCTCGAACGACGTCCATCATCGCCAGGTTGGCCAATCTAGCAGCCTCATGATCGGCTAGTCTAGCCGCCTGCATCTCAGCTAATACAGTCAGGACTGTGTCGGGCTGACCCTCATTCGTCTTACAGTTTCTCCTTGGCATTACCATGACTCTGCACAAGATACAAAAAGAATGAGTTGATAGGCCCACGCAATGTGGTAACACATGCATCATCATAGCAAAACCCAACAGAAACAACACACAAGACAAGGCACACAACAAAATATCCTAAGTTATTGCAATACATACAGGCTTTTTTCCTAGAAAGTGCTCTGATACCATAAAATGTAACACCCCGTGTATACCCAGTTTGTTATCATATCATCGTATTAAGCAGCGCTTAATAAAAATGCGGAATAACTTTTTCTTTTCAATTATGACGTCATTATTAATTACCAAGTTGATTACTTAGTCCTTTTCAAAATATTGGTTGTATGTAAATAGCAAATAAACAACTATCTACACTGAATAACCTCAAATATAATACGCGAGTATCTAAATCACGGAACTACAACACGTAGTCCGGACCATAATCCTGATATATTATACAACGCTAATCTAAATCAACAAAGTCAATTCAATGTGGCATGGACAACCTCCATGCTCATCAAATAAGGCAACAAAGTCTAACAAAGTCTCAAAAACAACAACATGATAATAAATATAAAGCAGGTCAGCATCCAAGCATATCATCATAAAAGCATAAATCTCAGCTCTCTCCGGCCTCCCGCCGCCCAAGGTCTCAACCCCCGAGTTACCTGAACCTGAAAATGTGCCCCAAACGTAGGGTGAGATCTCTAAATAGAAATCTCAGTAAGACAAGGGGTCCTCAAGGATTTCTCCACCCCAAGCTCATTTACATGTGCAATATAAGTTCTAAAAGCAGTAAAACAATAGAAGTTCTAAAATCAGTGCAATGCAGCAGAATAATCATGTCATGTGTGTCAACTATTCTACTGGCCAGAGAAATGCAGGATTTACATACGTCTATTACCTACAATCACTGCAAGACACCACTTTCACACACCCACGAGTCACCCTATTGCATGTCTCCTACATACTCAGTCTTACCATCTATATGGAACAACATATGCATATCACAAGGCACTTGCACATACAGCTCAATAGCATTTCAAATTCAATACATGAAAACACATCATGCATATAAATCATTCCCCCATGGGGTATGGTGGAACCAACAATGGCTAAACCGAGGACACAAAAGCTTACCTCATAAGCTAAGAGTCCAACCAAGTCCAAGGTCCACAAACAGCACTCTCACAGTCTATTTATACCAATAATCATATCAACAATCATAATCTACAAGCATATGACATAAAGACAACGCTTTCCTTTTACGTTTCATGTCTTTAGGCTTCTCACAAAGCCATAAGCCCTTAATCACTTTGATTCTGAATTAGTTAATTATTACAGAGGTTCAACATAACCAATCATGGGTCCATAAACCCATAATACAGTTCTGTCTGCACAGAACCGTCACTATCTCAAAATTCCCAAATATCCGGATATTTGTCGGGGGAATATCCGGATATCCATATCCGAATATCCAAAATCCCATATCTAGATATCCATATCCGTATATCATATCCGAATATTTCGCGACAGGATGTAGTTCTTCATTTTCGCAAAGATATCACCCAAAGGTTGTTCTTTTAACGATTTCAGAAGCTTAAACATGCATTTCTAGGTGTGTTTAACCTTACCCACCCTTAAGTTATTAACTTTAACTTGTTACATACATCAAGGTCCATTCTTTCCAAGGAACACTCAAAGACAAAGGTGGTGATGCATACCAATGGTTCAAAACAGAAAAAGGAATGCTCTTGGAGCTCTTTAGGCAGCTCCCTAGGTTGTGACTTCAACATGCACGAAAATGGCACACCAAGAAGGGTCATTTCTCTTCAAAGATCACTCCTTGAAGCTTCAAACACCAAGGAAAAAGTTTTCCACTCCACATAACTCGAGTTAACACTCTAAACCTCCCCAAACAGTACCCACAACCAGCAAAAGCTGACCTTCAACCTCACGAAGCACTCTACTAAGTGTTTACAATGATTTAGAGGGAAGAATCATGGAGAAATGTGATCTCTTGGTGGTTTTCAAGAGAAAAGAGGGTGGTGGCAAGTGAGGACACCAAAGGCTCAGAAATGGAGGCACACAAGACACGTAGAGCTGATCAAATCAGCCTAGGGTTGTGTGTAACTTGTATATTTATAGTCGGTTTAAGTTTAATCACATTGTATTAGCCCTAATAGCTACGCTTAGTATTTTAATCTCAAACATTGGATTTTGAACCTAGCTATTTTTCTAAGATTTGTCATATTTTTATTTTATTTTTCGCAGTACTTTGTCGGTATGAACTTTTACTTAGCCAGTATCAGTTCTGACACCAATTCTCATTATTTTTACTTCAAACTTGTTATACTAGTCCTATATATTATTCTGGTAATATATACACTCTTTTCATCATTTTCCGGAATACTTCATCAGTACTTATTTGGACCGTGAGGTAAAACCGGTATCTGCACTTTTCGTGAGGAAAGCGACTTTCAACATTATTAATCACTTACCATAAATATTTAAGTCTTCTTATAATTATTAGGGTCAATTATGGAATTATCTCATTAATCTCATAATTAGTTAGTTAAATTCCTAATTTATTGGTGCAGGTTCTTACATTAGCCGAGGGCTAGTAAATCAATACAAGAGATCGAGTACTCTCTTTCGATATTTTTAAAATACATAGCTTGAGATAACAGATCATTGTACACAATTTGTAACGACATTAGCCAAAGGAATGGTGAGTGCTCATTTCATATCTGTAGGTTTTTTTTTTTTTGTAAACTAATGGCTCCCATCACTTTACTATTCCCCATCCTGGAGTGGGCTGAGGCTTTTTTCTTTGCCCTGATCTGACCAAGCACAATCAATATTGTCTCAGAATGGGAGAAGACATTACAATTAATTGGTGCATTTGGCCTCAGTTTGGTATATGTATTTTTCTTTTTGCAAGTGATTCTAGTAATTTTTTCCTTCTAACATAATATAGTTCCTATATCCACGTATGTTGGGAATCCCATGGTGGGCTCATAATATTCGTGTTCTGGGAAATTCCCTGTCTTTATGTTCTGGAACTATTGCCTATATTATATATTATGAATTGTGTTGTAATTTCCCATTGCATAGACACAGAAGTGATGATTCCTATCATGTAAAAGGATAAAAAAATGTGTTTTATTTTCCCCCGTAGAAAGATATACGTGAACATAGAGAATGTGACACAAATCCACAAGTAGTTTTCATTTGGGATTTCATGGAGGCAAAACGTTTGTCTTTTATATTTTCTTCTTGATACTTACAAATACCATAACTTCCTGATACCTAAATTTTTTTATTGAAACTTGGAGCACATTATTGCAATTTATATTGTACACTGATAAATAAGATATCAAAAGTGACTTCATGTGCATTAAGTATGAATAATACATATTAGGAGTTGTGACTAGGACAGGCATACATTTTGGGTGTTGTTTGTTCAACTTGCTTCTAAAATGCTATATGCTTGCGCAGAAGCTGTTAAAAAATTATGGGAGAAGAGTTTCAACCTGAAATTATGACATCTAGAATGTGGTTTTACCTGTAACTTTTCAAAAAATATTACAGGTAACAAATCAGTGAAGTTTGTTGGGAATTTCGTCTAAAAGTCATTGCGTATGTTCTTGATTGGTCTTTCATTTGTTAATTTTCCAAGATGCTTGCATTATCCAAGGGCTAGGTCTTATTATTCCATTTGGTGCCTAACCTGTGTGCCTTGGACACACCTTTTGATTATTTTGACTACTTTGCTAGAGTTTAACTATATTATTGAGTATAGTTAAAAATATTTCTTAATATTTAGGCAGGAATTATCCATTATATATGTGATAGATGGAATCACATCAAATGACAATTTTTTTATCATCAGAAGGAGCATGTTCTCATTTATGCCTTTAATTAGACAAATGTTTCATTTACATCTGAATCTAAGGCAAAGTTATATAATTTTACTTTTGTTTTTTGTTTTAGAAATGAGGTTTTTTATTTTGTTAATATTGGTATTTATAAACATGAAGTTACGACAGAGGTACAAATAGAAACTATATGTGAGAATAACCAAATACTTTGGAATGTAATTGACACTTTTGTTGTCTGAAATGATATATTAGATGTCTTTATTTGCCCTAATCCAATGGCAGCAAAAAAAAAAAAATAGCCACAATAGGTTGTGGCTGTTCTTTTTTTTAAAAAAAACACATCATTACATTAGCCACGGTTATCTGTGGCTAAATAAATGTTACCACATTCAACAAAATGTGGCCAAGTAAGATAATGAATGTGGATAAAATATTGCAACGCTATAATTAGCAACGTTCATAGAAAGTGCGGTTGTTTGTGTTAGCCACGTTTTTAAGATAATTTAGCCACGTTAGGCTGAAATTTTTGTTTTTAGTGCAAATGGATAAAAATAAAATATGATCATCCATCCTATCAGTTAGTATCAGTGTTATGAGCCGGGTAGAACCGAGATTCGACGAACAATTTTTTAAAAATCGGTTATCGGATAAGTTCGAGTCAAATATCGGACCGGTTATGCATCAAATCCGGTGACCCGGTCGGGTCATATATTTTATAAAATAAAAAAAATCAAAATTATTTTATCTTGTCAAGAAAAAATGTAGAAATCATTTTTAAAAATTTCGTAATTTTATTTGCTAGTAGTATACTTTTTTACAATAATCTTAAATTTTAGCTTCCAATATTGAAGTAATTTGCATAACAATAAATTAAGAGAATGTGACATATGTCATTTCAATGTAGATGAATTTGAAAAAAATATGAATTCACAACATCTGGACTTTTGAATGTCATTGAGAGATATGTTTATGGAGATTCTGAGTTGCAATTTAAATTGACATAGTAATATCGTATATTTCCATTTATTTGTGCTTTATGAACTTGCAAAAATGTGATTAGATAATTTTTGAACTTATTTAGTGAACCTTATTTAACTCATTTTAAATATAAAAAATATAATTAAATTTATATATTTATATTTATATATATTTATATATCTGAATCAACCAATCCAACCAATAACATAATATCTCAATCAGGTCAGATTTAATAACATGGTTTAGAACTTACAGTTACCTTGTTCCATCAATACATGCTTTAACTTTTTAGCAAGAAAAAACTTATATTAAATAGACATCACATAAGCTATTTTATTATGTTTTAAGTCTATCATGATATGCAAATATACATTTATAAAGACTGAAACAAGTTATTATGCTCATATGAAATAGTATAGATATTTTCGAAGAAGAGGAGGTATGAGCTTTTTGTAAACGCTTTCTGTAGGATGAAAACCGTCCCAAAACACATACTCCGAAACATTTGGACACGTGGGAACCAAATGGCATAAGAACACTACCTCTACTGTGCCCGTGCCACAGCACCCTCTATTTCCGACTTTATAGCCTGCAATGACAAGGAAACATTTTATAAGTTTATATAAGGAATTTTTTGAAAAATCCAACTGTTGAAGTGAAGAATATGACAAAGCGTCAAAACATTTATGACATGCTTGGAACCAACGGAAAGTATTAGAAATGGTAATTCACTCGTAAGTTTGACCTAGTAACTTTGTCAAAACTAATTTTTTAACAAATGCTCGAGAATAAATGGTAAATATTAGGTCAAAATACATTTTCAATTTTTATATTGATACTTATTTTTAATTTAAATGTTATGTACTATTTTTTTTAATTTAATCTTTATATGTACAATTGTTTTTAATTTAATTTTCGCCATCTAGCTAGTGCTATCACTGTATTATTCATTAAAGTTATAATACAATAAATTATAAAAACTAAATAAAAAATGAGTATACAGAAAAAAAAATACTAGTGACTTATAATTTTAAATTAGTTCCTATATTTTATAATACTTTTATGCTTATGAACAGTGGCGAACCCAGGATTTTATATAATAGAGAGCAAAAATAAAATATTTGAAATAATAAATTTTATAAAAATTAATGGAAGATACTAATTATTATAAATTTTTTTAGGGAGGGGTAATTATTTGTTCTATCAATCTATTATTATTAAAAATTATTATATTATACATAAAATAAAAAAATAAAAATTTAGAAAGAAACGACCTGCCTATGACACAATATTATATAAGAGTAATAAATACTAGAGATGACATTGACAATATTTACACATATAAAAATTAAATTAAAAAATTTATAAAGACTAAATAAAAAACAAATGTACTTTATTAAACATTTAATATATATATATATATATATATATATATATATATATATATATATATATATATGTTAACCTGATTGCTTTCGGCAAAGAGAATTGAAACTTGGAATTACCATATTTTTGGTAGTTTACGATGATATCAAGGAGAGGGTTGAAAACATCCATGTAAACAATCCTGCTATTGGGAAAATTTTGGTTAAGAGAACCCAGCTCCTTTGACAATTTGCTGTTAAATAACTCTATTGCGTCGTTGTACTTTGCTATGCATTTTCTTTCTATTCCTCCAGCCGCCGTTCTCTGAAATGGCACACACCCAATTGATGGAGCACTGAATACTCCAATCCTTCGTGCCCCTAATTGATAAATTTCCTTTCAATTGCATTGAGAAGGAAAAAAATACATGTATGTAAGGTAATTAATTAATCATAAAAACAATTAAAAAACGTGAATTTGCGTGTTTTGTGATAAGGAAAATATAGTTGCACAAATAAGATTTTACACAGACTTCGAGCCTATTTGTCACCTTTTTTTTTAAGCTAAAATTTATTTTTAAGCTGATGATTATATAAATTTATCTTAAAATTATTTTTAAGATGTTCATTTCAAAAGAGCTGACACAACTTAAAAAAACTCCCTTCATAAGAATTTTCAATTATGGACTTTTTTCTTCATTATATTTTTTTTATTATAAGAGTTTTTGTAAGAACTTATTTAGTTAAGCTTCTTCTTATAAGAAGAATATAAGCTGAAAAAAAAGACATCCTGAACATGCACTTCAATATAATGTAGTTAACCAATTATAAAATAGATCTAAGTATTGAACTATTTATTGTAATTAATTACGAATTTAAACTGTAAATTCATGAATGTCACAATGTAAAGGTTAAATCAAGGCTAAAGGTTAAGATTTATGAAAATATATTTAGTACTCCGTAATACTAAATATTAATACTAAAGGCTCGATATATCACTTATTAAAATTAAAAAAAAAATCCATCTATTAATATTTATTTTATCATTTCCTTTATGATTAATATCACCTGAATCCTATCTATTTTCTATTTTTTTTTTTGGTAAAAATCTATTTTCTATTTTAAGTAATAGAATACCATATTAATTATAGGAATACTGAAAATATAAAAATATGCTCGTGATCTATATATATAAATGTGCTTGACTTGAGGCTTCAACTATCTTTATTGAAATGAAGCTTAACCATACCTTCACGAAATTAGAAGCTGAGCTGACCATAAGGTCAGTGTAAGCAGGAACATCGTATTGCAGTTGTCTAACACGAGACAAGAAGTAACTGTTGGAAATATCATTGCTGCCTAATACCACAAAATAAATACTGTTGGCTAAGATGAAGTTTGTTCTGTCCTCTCCAACGAGTCCTTTTAACTTCCCTATGTATTCTTTGAACATGTCTAGTTGACCAGATAAAGGTATAGCCGACTGGTTATAACAATGTGACAAAGTTACAATAAAGACATACTAAAATGAAAAAAGTAAAATAAAAAATATTACCATACTTTTGGAGAGAAATTAAATTTGGAGTTAAAAATATGTACCGCTAATTGTGATGTCAAAGGATCGTATCCGGCCCCACCTGATGCAAAGCACACACCAGTGGCCAAATCACTAGATTGAAGATTTGGATCCAAATATGCTGGTAGAAGCTCCTTAATGCCTAATTCTTCAACTGATACAACACAAAAATTAAGATATACTAATTAAAGCTAATAGATGACCGCCATTTGATATGGCTTTAATATTACTTTAGCCAGAGAAAAAAAAAACTTCAAATCACATTATTTCTTTTGGCAACATAAACGGGCCAAGGCCCATTAAATTACATTAGTTGTACCTACATACAAATAAAAGAAAAGACTAATTACATGTATAAAAGTAAAAAACCGAAGCTTAAAATATCCAATTAAACTATTTTTTGTTAACATGAAAAGACACTTTATGTAAAACTAGTTAATAGCAGACCCCAAAGATTTAGTGAAATAACTGTAGAAAGGGGGAAAAGTGTATTTAAAAGTTAATAATAAAAATATAAATAAAAACTTATCCCTTTTGTTATGACAAAAAGTAACACCTTTGTAAGATTCAATTGGATGAAATTTTTTTCATAGTACTTAGCACTCACCTATTAACATTAGAAAAATATTACTCATATAACTTCATTTATTTCACTATTATTTTATTAGTATTGCCATGAGCCCCATTTTTTTTAAATTGTAGACCCGCTTAGTTCCACACTTCCTTGGGTAGCATATTAGGACACGGGTAAGTAAGAGAAGAAAGAGCAAAACCTATAAGGTCTGATGGAACCTTTCCGTTTCCAAATCGACCAGTTGGGATCCCTCCTTCAAAATCTTGACCGTATGGTGAGAAGTTGCACCGAGCAGTTGTTAGCAAGTTGTTGTTGTTGTTGCCCGTATCCATGATCGAATCTCCAAACACTAACACTGCTGGGACTGAAACATTTGGTGGCAATTTCAACACAGCCTTTGTTTTGCACGAAACAAATAGTAATAATAATATGAAACGAAGCAATATAGAAGGAAGAAAATGAGGAGAAGAAAAAGAAGGGAGCTTCCTAAAAGGGTTGTGATTCATAATATCTAAACTGCTCTAGTTTGTTTAGCTTTTTGGTTGTGTTTTTTCCTTTTCTGAAAAGTGAACGATATGCGATTCATTCAGATCTTATATGTAATCAGCTCGGCAGCCGAGAGCTATACCAAAATACGAGTGTACGAATCTTTGTTGGATATATTAATATAGGGATTTTAGTTTGTCCTTTAACATGATCAGAAAAACTTTTCTACACACACAACATTTTGTGGGGCCCACACTTTTTAAAGAAAAAAAAAATTATAGCACGCAAAACGAATCTCTATAACATTACACAATCACTTTTCCTACAACGTAACTCTTATAAAACCCATTAATATATTATATAGGTGAAAGTTTGATTATTTGGATTCATATAGACGGGAGCTCAATAGCTTGTATTATCTTTATGGTTTCCTATAAGTTGGAAATAATATTGTCGAGCATTCCAATCTTTATTTTATTTTTGGATAAACCACGGGCATATCCTCCACGGGAAGCAATCTTATTCGGGCCGAAGACATTCACATCATGATGAGGCTATCTCTCCCAAAGAGAATTTTTTAGCATTCTAAAATTTTGTTGCCTCTTTGTATAACACTTCGAGTACCTATAAGCCCTTCTCTCTCAAACCAATAATCTCCAACAATCTTCAAGTATTAGGTTCGTGTGTCGGATTTGAGTGAATAAGGTGTTTATTTGAAGATTTCATCGAGAGGAACTCGTATGTGTGATTACTTTCGCAATTCGATGAAAGGATTTTCTTCGATCTGAGTTTGAAAATACTACAGCCTCAAGTTTTTGATACAGATCCCAGAAATTTCAGCCACTTTTAGGAAGTGAAACCTGTTGAGCTTTGTTCTACTTGTCGAGACAATCATTTTAACTGATCATTCACCTCAAACGGAGGTTGCGTGAAGGAGATATGACCATTTGAAGTTTCAGGTACATTTTTCTGTGAAACAGAATATTCTGCAGGAATATTCTATCCTTAGAGGAATATTCCAATAACCAGAGAATATTTCGATGAGTTTCCGGCAACAAAATCTTAAGGTTTTTGTGAGCTTCGAATCCATTTTTGGGAACTGTTTTGGCAAGTTCCAACTCTATGGAGCAATTTGAAGAAAGTTAAAGCCTTTGCTCTAATTTGTGAAGTCCATGGACTACAAGCTGTATTTTTTTAACTCTTAGCTCTGATTTAAAATGGTTAAATCTAGTTCTTATGATATTATATACCTGCAATCATTTGATGTTACTAAATTTCATGGTTGAAAATTACCTGTTCAATTTGGCATGAAAGAACGTGAAATATTTTATAATGTATTTAATGATTTTGCATCTCTACCATTGAAAATGTGGATGAATATCAATGGAACAAAGATGAAGATTTTTGTAGGATTAGTTACTAAATTCTCTAAATCATCGTCTAACTAAGGCTTATAGTGAGTATAAGATAGCAAAAAAAAAATGAGATCACTTGAATGCTCAGTTCCAAAAAATATGAGGGTCTCTCCAAAACTCTTCTAGTAGAGAAGTTATTTGGATTCAAATTTAATATGAATTCAAGTATCACTTCTCAGTTAAGTGAATTTGAGAACATTAGGAACAAACTAAAATATGATAAATCTGATATGTCTAACAATCTTTTTGTCAATCTTGTGTTGAGTAAGCTACATGTTGAATGGAGTTTTTTCAAGACTGAAATGCACAGACTGAAAGAACATATTGGACTAGATGTATTAAAGAGTTTAATATATATTGAGGATTAAAACTATTCTAAGAAGAGTTTGGAACAAGTAGGACAACAAAAGTCTGTTGCCAACTTAGTTTCACATTTCAATAAAACTCAGAAGGAGTTCAAGTCACCAAAAAGTGAATTTTCTTCACAATTAGAGGCCAAAAAGACTATTTTCAAAAAGAAGAAGGGCAAGTGTCATAACTGTGAAAAATGGGGTCACTAGGCAGCAGAGTGTAAGCTACCAAATAAGTTAAGGAATAACACACCACAAATGAGGCTAATATGTTAACTAATGAACCTGAGCCTCAAGCTTTTATTGGAATGATGAAGAATGGAAAGGTTATTGTCTCTTCGTAGTGGTGGTTGGATAGCAGAGCTACTTGTCGTGCTTCAAATGACAAGAATCTACTCACTGAGGTCATAAAAGTGAAAGACACCATGTAAAATTGCAGTGATGGTGAGACAGATATGACTCATCCTGGAACTGGAAATTTGATGTTCTCTTCAGGTAAATTACTAACTCTGTAACACGTTAAAGTAGTATCTTTACTTAAAAAGAATCTGATATCTATGAGTTTTCTTGATAAAGCTGGTATGTCTTTCTCAACTATGAATGGTATAACAGCTTTATCAGTTAACTCGTTTTATTTTAGCCGTGCATTTACACTTAATTACATGTATAGGTTGAGCTTAGATACTGAAAGCATAAACCATGTGAGTTTGACTTCGATTGATCCAAAGTTGTTACATAATAGACTTGGACATGTGAACTACAGGAAAATGCAACATCTAGCTAAAACTCATGATATTCCATTGAATGGCTCTATTCGATTTAACAAATGTGAAGTATGTGCACAGACTAAGATCTTTGTAAGACCCTTTAAGTCGGTTTCTAAAAGCACACAACTTCTTGAGTTGATAAATTTTGACCATTGTGACTTTAGAAATTATGTTACTAGAGATGGTCAGAAGTATTTAATAACATTCATAGATGATTTTTCAAGACATTGTCATGTCTATTTGTTGAAATAGAAAGATGAAGTGTTTGAAAGGTTCAAGATTTTCAAGTCAAGAGTAGAAAATCAACTCAACTTGAAAATTAAGAGGTTTGGGAGTGACAAATGAGGAGAATACACAATGATAGGGTTCAAGAAACTTTTCCCTTCCTCACTCACCCCAATCAAATGGTGTTCCTGAGCGAAAGAATATGACATTAACTAAAATATTAAAATCTATGTTACTTATAGTTGGCATGCCTTCCTCCTATTGGGGAGAAATGATTTTGATTGTTAATCACATCCTGAATAGGTTGTCGCATTCTAAGTTGTCAATGACACCTTATGAGATATGACATTAGCGTTCTTGTAGATATTATACTCTTAAGACCTGGGGTTGTATTGCTTATGTTAGAATACACAATCCTAAGAGACCTAAGGTATGACCTAGAATCATTACTTGTGTATATCTAAGAAATGCATAAGACCATATTGCAAATAGGTTTTTAGATATATCTATAAACACGATGATAGAATCCAGAGATGCATAATTCTTTAAGAATAAGTTTCTCAAAAATTATGGCTTAACTGTTTCTGGATCTACATATATGATTTTAAAATCTCTGATAAAATATTGAGCGAGTATGTCTAACACTAACCCTACACAATTAGCTATTGAATCAGTTTCAGTTAGAGTATCTACGAGAGAGTTCCCAAAGACTTTGGCGAAGACTTTTTCACTTATCATCTAAAGGATGATCCATTCTCCTATCAAGAAGCAATGAGATCTAGCGAATCTCTACTGTGGGCACAAGCCATAAATGATGAAATGAGTTCTCTGCTGCAAAATTATATTTGGTAGCTAGTCAGTTTGCAGAAATAAAATAAGGCTATAGGTTGTAAGTAGGTACTAAAGAATAAATATTGCCATAACAAGGTATCTTTAAGAAACAATCGCTAAAATATATTGAAATAAAATAAACCATGTGTAAGCAAGGTATATATATAGAGAATATGGTTATATTGACACTTTTTTTTTACAAACTTACAAACTACTACACTATGTCTCACCGGTAATACTCTACTCAAAAGTGTATTACCGGTCAGACATAGTGTAGTTTGTAAGAGTTTGTAAACAAAAAATTTATAAATATAACATTTCCCATATATATATATATATATATATATATATATATATATATACATATATGGAAAACTTTTTGTGCTTTAAAAGGATGTAAGTTGTGTTTTTTTAGTTTTTTACTCTATGTACTCCCATAGTATATAGTTATAATATAAAAAGTTTTTTTTCTCTCCTCAGTCACATCAACTGACGTAAAAAGTGAAAAAAAATAATTTTTCATGTTATAACTATGTACTACCTGGAGTACATAGAGTAAAAAATTAAAAGGACACAACTTATATACTTTAAAAGGACACACACTAAATTATATATATATAGAGAGAGAGAGAGAGAAAATATTTCTCAAGCTACTTGAGATATATTTATCTTCGGTTATCTCAAAACTACATCATTTTATTTATTTATTTCCTTATATTAATTGATTCACCTTTGAATGATTATGATTCTCTTTTTCTCTCTTTTCCTTTATCACCATTGATCCATCATTGTACGATTGTGATTTAGTGGCCGGAGATAAAGTTATTTCAAGCAGCTTGAGAAACGATAAGCCTATATATATATATATATATATATATATATATATATATATATATATATATATATATATATATGAAAAAAATCAACTACCAATTATAAAGTATAACTTACCTTAAGATTTAAATCATGATGTAATTATGAAATTGTGAAGTCCAATTAGGTTAAAAAATTATTAAAAAATATATCACATAACATTGAAATTATATCTTAAACTGTTATATAAAAAATTTATAATTAATTTCTTATTCTCTTATATTTAATGTCATTGATTTTTTTTCTTAATTTAGATACTTATCTAATATATCATAAAGGAAAAATGTATATCCTTTTAAAGGAATAAAAGATTATTCTTTTAAGAAAGAAAAAAAAATAGATCATATGATAGAGAAAGAAAAAAAAAAATCATACTCTCTTTTTCCTATAATTTATTTCTTTTTTTTAAAAAAAAAATATAACTTTATATACTTTAAAAGATTATACACTTTTCTTATATAATAATTATTTTTTTTTAATATCCCATCATATAACATTATAATGTATTTTTATTTGTTAACCAAATTACATATATTTTGAATAAGAAATTAGTAGCATCACGTTAGGTGGCACATTATGTATGGTTATGAATATTATCAGTACGGTTTTTCTTACAGCTGCCCTACTCATCACACAATTAGGTAAAAGGTCAAGAGTTTGAGGATACTAACCAAAATGGTACCGTTTATCAATTTTTTTACTTAAATGCCACGCGAATAATGTTATTTCTCAATCTGTTACGGGGGCAAGTTCGCTTCCCGGTGTAGCATCTCGGTTTCCTGACGTGTCACATTTTTAGTGGATAACAAGTATCAAATTTAAAAAAAAAAAAAAAAAATGAAGGTCGCCTACCATGCAGGCGAACCTGGTTAAAATTAAGTTAATGTCCATTAGAAACGTGACACGTCAGCAAACCGAGTTCGCTACACCGGAAAGCGAACTTGCTCCCGTAGCAGATTGAGAAATAACACTGTTCGTGTAACATTTAGGTAAAAAAATTGATAAACAGTGACATTTTAAACACTGTTCCAAGAGTTTGATTTTCACTTTTCAACAGCTGGGTCAATTACTAGATTACTGATGTGGGTGTATAAATGTTAATAACGTGCCGTACTGTAAACAAAACTGACATGCAGACATACAGAACTTAAAAGACCTGCTCGATTACTTTACAGTCAAATCCAGCACAATTTTGAAAAAATTGTTTGGGTATAAGTTATGCTTTTGCATTTAGATGATTATTCTTGCTGACGAGATATGTGGAGAAAATTAATGGGCGGCTTTGTATTTTTGTGGGACTCAAATTTTTTAATTTTTTTTCTAATAGTTTGGTTTTGAACACTCATATTTATTATTTTTTTTAAAAGTTAATTTAGATAAATTTATCTAATATTTAGTAAAATGACATCATTTTAGGATTGAAAGCATCGTCAAATTAAATACTTTTCCTCGTTATTATTTAGGCTTTTTAAGTTTATTTTTCTTGTAAACAAAGTATTCTATAATAAGTGCGGTAAAAAATATATACTGAAATATTGCTGGACTTAGCCTAGTATTTTTATTATTTCTTCTCTTTTCTCTTTTTATTTTATAACACTCTGTGATTGTTCACTGCCCACAAAAATAAGAAATGAAAATGATGAAGAAAAGATGTTGAGAACAGCATTTGCTGTCTTCAGTTTGTCTGTGTCTGAAGTCTGAACCATATACATAATCAAATCTACCTAAGCTAGCTACTTCATGCAAGGGCAGGCCAAGCCCGTAAAAGCATACAGACAAAGATAAGAGAAGGACCCTGACAAATGGAGTTAAATCTAATAATTTTGTAATGTATTCGCTTCTACCTCTCTGAGCTCATTTTCAGTACATCCAGAATACTCTCTTATTAAAGATAAGAGTTAATATCTTTTTTTATCATTAATAAATTTTAAGATGTTCGCTTTAATTCCTATCAAATAAAAAAGTTATTCGTGGTTTCTAAAAAATTCAAAGTGAACTTATTTTAGTCCTTTTGAGGGATTAATGTGGGTCTTTTTTGAATTTATGAAGTATCACAATCTTAACTAAATGAGTCCATTTTAAATTTCTTAGGAACCACGAATAGCCTTTTTATTTGCTAGATAGTAAGGAGAGCATCATAAAATTTGTCGAGGACCAAAAATTATATTTGCTCTAAAAATAAAAATATATAAAATATAAATGAAAATAAATATAAAAGTAAGAACAGTATGAAAATATTATTTTTTATTATATTGGTAAAAAATATACCAAGTAATCGGTACAGGTACAACGAGAGCACAGGAAATATT